GATTCTCGTGGTCTTCCTCTCCATGTAACGCAAATGCGGGTTAGCTCCACGAAGGCAAATTTCTCCCATTTCTCGATATAGGAGTTCCCTTGTCTTCTGGATTGGGTTCAAAATTACAAGGCTACGGAATTAGGTCGGCTGTTCAACGACGGTTATAAAATTAAATATGGGGCTAAAAGTCTTTTTGTCAAAGGATTTTGATCGACATTAAATGTTAAATATTTAGGAAATTCTCTGAAATTAAAAATATTTTTATTGGAAAGTATCAAAAAGTTAGTAAAGAGAGTTATAATTATAATTATTAAAAACTCTGCATTATTCTTTAAATTACGATATTATAATTAAAATTTGGTTTTTGCCGAAATCATCGTAAATATAATAGTAGAAAAGAAAAAGCTACTTTTAATTACTGATTTATTTTAGTATTTATCTTGAATGTATTCATGAATATAAAGTTTTTTTTATTTATTTCGAATCCTCTGTTGCTCAACTTGAAAGTATAATGAAAGAAAAAGTGTCTAGTGAATGAATGCAGAAACGTGTATGAATTGTTATCACACAGACGTCAAGTCGTTTAAAAAGAGTTGGTATGTGGAATTTTTTTTTTTCTTATTTCCCCCATTTTTTTTAATGTTGAATATAATATAACAACCGAAGGAGATTTCTCGCGCTTTTCGAGTTATGCAAAAGAGCTGGAAACCTTGGCCCTCCTATTATCCCTAACTAAGGTGGTCTATGAGTTTTCAAACGAAGTTATTAAAAAAATGAAAAACAGTGGGAGGTTAAAATTGTTTAACGCTCGTCACCTACTTTGTTTTTATTATTAGCGGTTCCCTTTCATATTTCACTCCCCCAGTTATAAAAAGAGTTCCTCGAAAGACCTCGATGTCTTCTTTTCGAGCCCTCGAGGAAAGGTTAAATGTTGGATGCTTTTTTTAATTCTGCCATAACTTGAAAAAAAAATTAGTAAAATTTTTAATTAAAAAAATAATCGTTGATGTTGATTGATTTTGCGCCTTTTTGAAATAATGCGCCCATGGCATTCGCCATACTTGCCATACCCTAGATACGCCACTGAGATGGAGTCAAAAACAAGTTTGAAAAAGTTGAAAAGAGTTCCTACACTTTGGATAGTTGTCCCACAGGTTAAAAGAAGTCTTTGATGCAATTATTTGGACTAACATTTATAAAAATGTGAATAAAAATTTTGCTTAAATGAATATTATGGCAAGTATTTAAATAACTTACCACAAAAAATAATTTTTTACATTTAAACTATTTTGAGCATTTGTTTGATTAGTGACAATGAAGCATTTTTTCTCTAAAAAAAAGGGAAAATTTTAGTGAGGCATTTTCAGATTAGTAAATTCACATCCTCGACACTCAGTAAAACATATTTTATTCACAAAAATGTTTTCAAAAAATTATTTTTTTCAAACTCAGTTTTATCCTTAAAAAAATCCTTTTTTTTTTTAATCCTAATTCCTTTTTGGTTGTCAAAAAATTATCATACACATTTATTGCTAATGAAATAAACTAAAATTCATATATTAAATTATATACTAAATTAAATTTATACATTAATATAAATATTAATTTAGTTGAATGATAATTTAACTAAATTAATATTTATATTAATTTAGTTAAAAAAAACTTATAGTAAGTATTTAATTTTGATAGTAATTTGGTAATTATGGTAACTTTATCAAGAAAATATTTAATGAGTTTCTCAGCAACTAATGTACGACTATAAATTATTCAATGATATATTTAATAAATTAATTATCTCTTGTTTCATATATTTTTAAATTAAATTTATTTTAAAAAATTTGCAAAGTAAATTTAAATAAAAAATACAAATGAATTTAAATATAATATTTATTAAAGGTTCATGAATATGTACCAAAGATACATAAAATGTTTATATATGAGAATATATATTTGAGATATTGAACTCTAGTTCTTTTCTCACTATGGATTTGCACAATGTTAATATTTTTTACAAATATATTTGTTGAAATTTATTTCTTCAATTATTATGTTACAAAATAAAATGTAATTTTAAATTAAATAAACTCCACAAATTTTAATTGTACATAAAAAAAAATAGACATACATAATTATAATCAGACGTATACGTACTAAAAAATAAAATATTTACTTTTTTGGGATGACATGAAAATTTTAATAAAGTATTGGTGGGAGACAGAAACTCAGAAAAAAATCGAATCTAATTTGAATATTTCATCTACGTAGCCCAGAGCCTTGCTATTAATACTTTTTAATTTTTTAGATTTTCAAGATAATTTTTAATTTTTGCTGTTGTGAATTTCTGCTTAAAATCTTACAAAAATAAACCCTTAAAAAGTTTAAAGTAAATAAAAATTACAAACAACTAAATTAAAAATTATAAACAATTTTAATCATTTGGTAATCTCATAAAGGGGCGAATTTGGAAAAGGTTTTCTTCCTCAAACGCTGTTTTCCCATTTAATGACATGGGAAAACAATAGTTACTTTGCTATGCGAAGAAAAATGTAACTTAAAATGAGATTTTCTAAAAATTTGATTACCAGGGCCCTGTACCTGATCATGTACCCTGAAGATTAAAATAAATTTTAAAAAATTGTCAGTTTTATTTCAAGTCTAAATCAAAAGAAATTAATAAATGAATGAACTATAAAGATAGGAAATAAAATTAATAAAATAGTTAAAAGCAATAAATATTAAAAAGTTACAGAGTATTCTCCAATTTACCACCTAATAAATATTGTTATAACTTCTGTGCAAGTTTCAAATTTTATAGTTATGTCATAGGATTGTCATAATTTAAGTACTTTGTTTGTAAAACGAAATGATATAGTATTTCAAATAATTTAAAAAAGCAAATTTTTTTTCTATTAGATTAAAAATTTGGCTATTTGAAAATGTATGCCCAATTAACAAGTAATATAAGAGAATAACAATAAAATAATATAAAATAATATTTTTGAAATTGATATTACCTCTGTAATCTACACCTGAATTTAACTTGACAACAACTGGTCGTCCAATAATTTGCTTCAAAAATTCACTTGGTGTCTGTCGTCTACTCATTGCTTACAGTAAACTATTATCCAATCAAGCAGTGAAGAAATCTGCAAGCATACCATTGATCAGATTAAAATTTACAGAGAATACTTCCCTAACAGTATCTATGTCAAAATATTCATCAAGCTTTGACAACAACTGGATTGTAACACGATAAACTTAAAAAGAAAAAAGAAAAGAAACACCACAAACAAAGCAAACTCAAAAGGTAAAATTCATAAGCAAGTCATTATTTTTTTTAAAAAAATCTAAGAAGCAAAGCCCTCACTCACTCATCACTAATATACTCTCCTTTTGAGAAGTTAGAAAGGTTCAATTTTGACAGTATATTCTTTTTAAGAAAAGAGAAGCCTCAGATTCAGACCGTGAGTTCCTTATAAGATAAACAGAAGAACAAAACAAAAATTAGCTTCATTGACAATACTACTAAACAGCATGTTTTTACCAAGATAAAAATTTTAAATTTGGATTATGTGTTCTTTATTAGATAAGGCAATAAAACTAAAAAAAATTGATTTTGAAATTTCCTACTAATTATAAGAATAATTAAGAGATAATTTATCCAAAGTTAAATTTATACTGAATAAAAGTTTGACACACACATAAAAGTCCCAAACTTTGACCTTATCATATAAAGGGAATGACTAAAAAAAAATTATTTCAATTGTTTGCCTTGTTTAATAAGAAGAGTAGATCATTTATCAGTAAAAAATTACATCTTTAAACAACATTTTTATTCATTCAAAAATCCCCAATACAAATCATAATTAACAGTGAACTAGCTAGTTATGAAAATTTGAAGCAAACTATATCACAAGGGTAAAGGGTACCTATGCAATTCTAGATATGATCAAACATTTTAATCAACTAAATAAGGACAGAAATTCGATCAAAACTCATAAATTCTGCAGCCAAATTACATTAGTGAAATGAGGATGACGCTTCACTGTATAATCAAAGCTTATTAGTAAATTTATTTGTATATGTCTGTGATTTTACAATGGTTTCTGTGATTTTGCAATGGTATTTATCATCATCACAAAGTTTAAGTACTTCTTTATGCGTTTATTAGATGTCTAACATAAAAATAGTAAGCTTAAATTAACAACAGGGTGTTAAATATCTATTGGTTTTATAAAAAGCACACTACATAACAGTATTTTATAATACCTGAAATGAATATATTCAAAATATAAATTGTAAACCTTTTATCTTGCTTACAAAAAGTCGAGTGACAAGAAGTATTTAATACGAAAAAAAATTCAAATAAATCAATGAATTCAAACATACAAAAAATTCTTATTAATTTGAAATAATCCCCGATATCCACAAATAAAAAATATCATTCACAAACTTTTTAAACACTGTCTTTGAGAAATATTTCAACGTTTTAGCCTAACTTACTAGTAAAATTAATTGAGGTAAGGTTTAAGCAAGCCTAATTTTCTTTTACAATGGTAAAAGACGAAATGACTTCAATTTTGATTTCATGTGTTTTATTTCGTACAAAATTTATAATTTGTGGAAGAAAAGTGATTTCCTTTAATTTTAAGACTTGTTGTAATAAATCCATTTCTATCGCCATGGAAAATTATTTGAAGAAACAAAAGGAAAAATTGGTATTCCTTTATTTATTAGAAAAATTTTACTGCTAAGCTCTTGGAAAAGCAAATTTAAAGAGATGATTCCCGTCTTGTATTCGCGCCAAAAGAAGAACAGAATTAAAATTTCTGCTATTGTCATCAAACTTTGATAAATGTCAAATTCGATTGCATAACTTTTGAAAAAATAATTTAAAATCTTATTATATGAGAAACTATTTTGTTTTATTTGTTATTAGCAATGTTATAAGCTGAATGAAAAATAAATTCTTCAGGAGGGGAGAATTTTAAAGATTGTTTTATATCAAGTTGTAGAAGCTTAAATTGCTAGTAACTAATATTGAGATTCAGGGAGAAACAACACAGCTCAATCAATTAACAGGATTTTACAATGTGCAAACAAATTTTTATTTAACTTACAACTCTTTTTTTTTTACTTATCACAAGTGCTGTACTTATTTTCAATTATTGTCTCATTTTTTGCATTTACTTAAATTCTGCTATTTTTACTTATGTATTATAACAATTCAAGCGGTAATGCATTTTATTGGTACATCTGATGAGATATTAATAATTTAAAAAATAAGTTCAGAACTAGAATTTATTTTTCTAAAATTTTTCTATTTCCAAATTAAAAGAAATATTAGAATTAAGATTAAAGTTCTTTTATGATATTGTGGTTCCCAAAATAGTCTTGGTATATGATATCTGCGTGTATTGGCCCTAGTTCACCCCTATTGAATAACTGTTGTTTTGGTGAAAAGGCTAAAACTAAATTTTTTAACTACAGTAGAATATCTTTATAGTGCAAACTATGAAATATGAACCCTTGTGTTTTAGAATTTTGGGTTAGTATAGTTCATTAAACCTACGAGCTAATCCTAGCAATATGAATCTGGAACAGATCAATATTAATGTTTTTATATGCAAATAATACTTTGAAACAAAAAAATATGCACCTAAGTTTTTACTAAGTAAATGAATAAAATAAATTTTTATCAGCATTAGTAATAAAAGCCAAGAAATGTCCAAGATATATGGAGAATTTTGGTTTATAAGATTATATCTTATTGACCTACTGCTCTTTTTTACTATTTATGGTTGAACGCTCAAACTAAAACTTTTAAATTAAGATGAAAGATTCTTTTTCAAACAAAAAAGACAAAATTGATCATTTTTTCTTTGATGTAAAATTGAACCAATTAGTAGATGATATTTTAATCTTAAAGGGCAAAGACAATGTTCATTTATATATCTGATGTTTATATTAGAGGTAACAATCAGGGTTCGTGATTTTTTTTAAAAAAATCAGATTATTTTGATTTAAATCGGATTTTTTTGATTTAAATCAGATTTTTTTGATTTTTATTCAAATACACTATAAGAGCTTTAATTTATGATTAAAAAAACTTGATAAATGTTTAATTAAATTAATATTAAAACTATATTGCAGTGGAACCTGTAAAAGTGACCACCTGGTTAAAGTGAGAATCTGAGTAAGGTGACCATTTTCTGCAAGTTTTATTTAAAAAGTCCTTTTTAAAGACTCTTCATAAAGTGACCACCTCTATATAGTGACCATTTGACTTGGTCCCGAGGGTGGTCAATTTAGACAGGTTCCACTAACAATATTTTAGAAGCTCTAACTTACTAAAATAATTTTTCATTATAATGCATAGCGACCATTTTGATACCAAGGCATGATTGAAATTAAAAAACAAGATTAAATAGATAATTTAAAGAATACTACTTTAACTAGTAACACAAAGTTTCAATTAGCACACCATAATTTTAATTTAAAATTGTGATCTTTTTTTTCCTCATGATTTATAAAATGGCAAAATAACTAAACTAGTAACTTCGTTTACTAAAATAGACTTTGAAAGGGAAGAATGACGCTATATCAGGAAAAAAATATCTGAACTCAGCTTTTTTTTTCTTTCTATTTTTGGCATATTAAGGTAATTTCTTTTTAATATAACCTCAAGCTTTAGAAACATAGAAATTTCCATCAATAAACTATAATGTAGATTTGAATTCCATGCTTTTTTAATCAAAAGGTAGAATTTTAATTAACATTTGCTTTTTTTCTTTTTGAAAAAAAATCATGTTTATTTACTTTCTACAGCTATGCAAGTCTATATTAAGACAGCATTAAATATTTACTTTAATCTGTACTTTCAATGTTAAGAATCAAAAAATTTTGAAACATGTAATTTTAAATGTGTTTAACACACACCAAGAAAGAAAGTATTTTCGTTTACTAAAATTAATTAATGCAGCAATTTATTTAAAATAAAAAAAGAAAATAATAAAAAAATCAATAATTTAAAGCACTGTTTTTTAACTTTTAAAATCAATATAATATATATATATAAAAATCAGTTGATTTAAATCAATGATTTTTTTAAAAAAATCATTTGATTTTAATCATGATTTAAATCGTGATTTAAATCAAGCTGATTTAAATCAACAAACCCTGGTAACAATATTAATTTATCTTCAATTTTAGTGTTTGTTCCATTAAATTATGAGAGTTACAATTTAAAAGATTTATTTTCTTAAAATTCTAACTGAATTTGATTTTTTTTAAATTAAATATTTATATCTTTTATTGTGGAAATATACATTTGATCTATATCACTAAAAAATAACAAAGAATGTCTAATAGAAGATACTTTTCCATTTCACAGCAAATGTGATAGTTCTAGAAACTGGCTTTTTAAACTTGTATCAGTTTCTGAGTAAAGATCAATTTTGCTGTAAATTGGCATGATGTTGCTTTTCTAAATATGGATTTAAAAATTAATAACAATCAGAAACTTGTAGTATATATAATTTTATTTCTGATTTTCAAAGTGCTTCATTTAAGCATGTCCTTGGTTCAGTGGCAGAAAAAAGAAGTAGTTTTAAATTAAAAATATTGCCATCTGGTGACCAAAACCCTCTTGACTGAGTTTGTTGAATTTATGATGTACAATTGATAATATAACAAAATGCTGTTTTCTGTATTTTCTAGTAAAATGAGGAAAACAAAACCATTGTAAAAATTTTCACATTTTCCTTGCTGGTTCTTACAACACTTTTAAAATAATGTTGCTTCGTTAAAATTATATCTTTTTAAAGCACATTGCATTATTTTTTTTCCTGTTGATATTTTTTCCTTTTAATGAAAATCCCTTTTTGATACTTTTACATGCATTAATGTAAGGGTGCACAACCTTTTTTCAGAGAAGGGTTTCTTGCACAACAGGTTGAATAATGAAGGGACGCTCACGTAATTAGACATTATGACAGCAATTATGATCATTTTTAGTTTAAAAAGTAATTTTAAGCACTACCTAAAAAATTTTTTACCAATATGGTAATAGATTTACAGAAAATTAAGTACTTTTAATTATATAATTTATTCAAAAATGATCAAACTGATAATTTTTTTTTAAATTTTTTATTCCCTTTTTATCAAAAATTTAAGTAAAAAAAATATATTTATATAAATATTTGAGAAAAAAACGTTTTTTTTTTTCCAATTTTTTACCATATATACAACATAATATAAAAGTTCATTTTAAAATAAATTCTAACAAAATAGTACACGCCTACGTTGATGTCTTATTAAATCTTTTTAATAGAATTCATCCATGATGCATGAAAGCACCTTTTCTAATACAAAAAGAAGAGAAAATATATTAAAGCTTTTTGACGAAGAATTTGATAAATACCAATTTTTAAAGAAAATGTATGAGCTGAGCTTTTTATAAAAATAAATGAATGAAAAATTATGATTTTCAAACAACATCTTTCTTGAACATGGATGAATAAATAACATATTACTTCTGATACATGCATTTCAAAGATTTATAAGAGGAGTATTTTTATTTTATAGAAAGATGAAAAAGGAGTTTTTAAAGTAGTGATGGGAAATGAGTCATGTGATTTAGATTCAGTTGTTTCATCGCTTGTGTTTGCCTATTTCCTTTATAAGGTTTGATTATCATTCATTTTTTATTAAATAATCGTTTTAGTTCAACTATTTCATTTTATGTTATTTATCAATTTAATTTAAATAGATAATTTGATTCATTTTAAATAGATAAATCTCAATTTAAGCTTCTAAAGAGCAGCACCATTTTAATCAAAGATGCTGTTTTATTTGTTGATGAATTGTTTAAAAATATTTGAATTTTTTAGCTACTAACTCATTTTATGATATATCTACAATGAGATATATATATATATATATATACACATGGTATATTCTTGATATCTCGAACTTCGATATCTCAAAAACCTTGTTATGTCGAAAAATATTTTTCTCCTCAGTATTATATATCTTCTCGATACTTTATTCTGTAGAATTTTTTTTTCGAAATAAAAAATTAATTTTTTCAGAAAAATCACATTAAGTTTATTGTAAACTAATTCTTTTCCATCTAACGCTTAATTATTTTTGTCTTACTTTTAAAAATAAAATTATTATTGTTGTATTTATACTTATAGTCAGCTATCATTACATACATATTTATTAGTAGTTATTCTTATGTTTCAACACTCTTCTTTTTAGAATCATATTTTAGAAAAAAATTTCATGCATATTTAGTTCTGAATTTGTTATCTCAAAAACACCCTATCTCGAAATTTTTTTTGTGTCCCTTCAACTTTGAGATTTCGAGAGTAACAAAATACATATTTAAGAAACCTTATTTTTTCTGTTTCCTTTTCTCTAATAATTTCAATTGGATTAAATGTTTTATTAATATTGTAAAAAAGTAAGTCTAAATTTTATGTTTAGATCATAGGTTTTGCTGAATCTTACTTTTAAATTTATTTTTAATTTGGTTCATTTTAGGCTGCTTATCGGTTATAAGAACCATGTATGTTGGTGACTGCTTTTTCAAGTTGTCAGCAACTCAGATATTGCTCTTATAACCGATAAGTGTGAATTTAAATATAGCAATGTAAGTTTAAAGTTATTGATAGTTAACAATATATCTAATATTTTTCCAGTTTATTTAATTTAGATTATTTTTACAATGGTCAATGTTTTCATTATTGAAATAAAATTTATCAAAAAATGATAATATATTGTATTCAATAATTATTATTATAATTATTATTATATAATAAATATTATTATGTATAAATAATTATTATTATGTAATAAATATTGCTTGTGATATTATCGTTTTGATATCGATGATTAGTAATAGTGATCAGAGCATTATCCTATTTCATATGACTATTAGTTAATCATCTCCAATATTGGCATGTTTGATACACCTATTTGTCATCAGTTGTGCGTGATGTTTGTAAATCCGAAACTGTTGTTGTTCCTTTGTGGAGAGCTCTGCTTTATGGTCCATTCAACCAATGAGTATTAATTTTTGTTGGTTTAGTTAGTTCAATCATTCTAAATACTCGTTTTTAAACTTAATAATGATTTATTTATATTATATATGCTAAAATCTTTTTTTAAAAATCATGTCTGATTGCTTACATTCTTTTACAGGTTAATAAAACTACAGAATTTATTGTTCCAGTTTTAAATGTGTGTGGAAAAGATTTACTTCTTAGGACGGAAGTGGTTTATTTTTTAAAAAAGACAAATATAGATCTTGAGCACCTGATGTGTGAAGAGGACATCAATCTTCAGGTATTAAATTTATCAAGTATCTATATTATATAAAGCGCTAATACGTATGTATGTATGTTTCAATAAAACCGATGATATTTCTTTTCTTGCGATGGCAACAGTTTTCATTTTTAATTGATTGGATTCGGCGCGCAAGAGCACGTAGTGAGCAACCAGATAACAATAACCAGAGTGAGCATTATCAGGTTGTTCAATTCAGATTCATGCACTAAAAACATGACAATATTTTATTTAAACTCAATTAGGAATTAATTAATTAATTGAAGTGAGAATGCATTAAAAGGCCGCTGTTGAATTGATATTTTTCTACTGGGAGCTACCTGAACGTCTAAAAAACGTTTAGTGTTTCTATTGAATGCATTGAATTTTCACGCTTTAAAATGCAGAATATTAGTGAAGCAATATTTGATAATTTATTTTGCTAATATGTTTCTTATTTAGCTAATGTTTAGATTTTTTCACCATGTACAATCTAAATAGCTAATATACTTTTTTAAAAGCCAATGAGAACATTGGTAGAATTCTTCTACATAAGTACAATACTATGTCTTTGATGATAAAATACTATGTCTTTGATGATAATATATTATGTCTTTGTGCTAGAACATTGTGTTCATTGGCGAGCGAGCGCAGCGAGTCATGGTTCACAGCGTGAACCACATAGGATTGCGTAGCAATTCTCGGGGGTTGGCGAGCGTTAGCGAGCAGGGGGCGGAGCCTCCTAGTTAAATAGTAAACATAGTGATCCTGTTAACACAAATTTTGTTGAAATATGTTTAAGGAATGATTATTAACTTCATTCACACTTTGATTAAAATTATCTACATTATCTTTCCGGAAATGACTGCAAAGGAAGACAATTTTCTTTCTAGTTTATTTTATTTGGCTTAGCAGTCAGGAAAAGTATGGTTTTATGATAAACATTATTTAATTAAAAAGCACAAAAAACAAAGAAATAGTTTTAGCAACCTTTTCTTATGTTAAAATTTGTTAATCAATACTTAATGCTCGATTCAATGTCTTATCTAATTGTGATTTTGCTGTACTTGATAATAAAAAATGTAAATGCAGAGTCTTTTGTTGCATGTTTTTGTTGTAGTTGTTCATAATCATCTTGATTATCATCATTTTGGCATCTGATCATAATCTTGGCATCTTGATTGAGTTTTTAAAGTTGAGTTTTTGACTATAAACTGTATAAGAATCTTTTTTTTTTTAAATAATAATCATGTTTTTAAAGTTTTCCCTTTAAATTTTTTATTTTAGACCCTGAAGGACCAAAATCGTCTTAAGCTAATTATTGTTGACCATAATGCATTAAGCGAGGAGCAAACAAGTTTGCAAGGAACAATAGTTCAAATAATTGATCATCATAAAATTAATAATCCAGAAACAATAAGCAGGTGACTTTTTGTCTTAATTAATTGCATAGTCATATATATTTGTTGTCATGTGTCATTAAATATATTATTTACCTACTTGTCCTTTTATTTTTTGACTGTTTGAAAGGATGGAATATTTTGATTCATTTTTTATTTATTTATTTGTGTATAACATAAATCTGAGAGTAAAAGAGTATGACTTGAAAAAATTACTTTAGCTTGAGATTTAGTGTTTTATTAGTAGTATACCTTTAGAGTAGTCACCCCTTAAAATTATAGGGGGCACTGCTTTACCCATTCCAAGATAAATACCTATTTGTGGTAAATTTGTCGATTACATAAGCCAGTCAAGTAAATAATGGTTGTTTTATTCATGGAATTCAGATTATGATTTTATAGTTGATTCAACAAATATTCCACTGGAGAGCTTTAAACACAAATTATGTATAAAGTGCAATTTTTTTTTTTTTTTTTTTTTTTTTTTTATATATATATATTTGGTGGACTAAAAAAAAATCTACTATACCAACTGATATTACCAGCAAACAGAAATTAGTTATTATGTGTTTTATAACCAAATTTAAATTAATGATTTTTTTAGCTTATAACTTGTTTCCATTTTTTAGATATTTTTCTAAGCATAAAAGTCAATAAATTTAAAGTATCCTTAGCTTTATGTTGAAATACTTTCTTTTCAAACCCATGACCAAATGAATTATAGCTAAATTCAGTTAATAAATTAGCTCATCATTAAATTATTATTTCATAAATAGAATGGAATAGAATCAAAGATTCAAGATTTATGATCGAAATCTACTTTGATTGTTTTATTTATTTACAAATATCTTTAAGTAGCCCATCATTAAATTAATGTTTATTTTAAGTTAGTTATCTTAGCTTATTGTTGATTATTATTTCTAGCTTATTATGATTATGCAATATAGTATTTAATCAACGATTGATTATATAAGATCATGTTCAACTTTATTTTTTTTATTATGTTAAAAATATCTTTGCGTAACTCATTAAATTTGTTATTTTTTCGTAAAATATAGAATTGATTCAAAGATTGAAGATGTAGGATCATGTTCAACTTTGATTGCAGAAGAGATACTTAAATTTCCAAACCTTATAGATAGTCAGATAGCATTACTTCTTTTGGGTAAGTGCTTTTTCTTTTTTATTAAGATACAAATTATTCATTTAAAAATGTTTTATAGTGTTAGAGTTTCTTTTGGACATTTGGATTTATTTATTATTTTTCTTCTTTATTGGGGCACCAACTATTCATTTAAAAAAAATATTATAATTAGTAGTGTTGAAGAATTATATACATTTACTTTTTTCTATTGAGGTACCAATTATTTATTAATTAAATAATGTTTTAGTAGTGTAAAATTATTAATAAATATTTTGAGTTTTTTGTTGCAGAAAGCTGTAAACCACACTTAGAGAAAATAGCGTTATACTCAGTGCAATAACTACAGGATGTTCTTATTGTTTAAATAAATTATTCATCCCTCTTTAATTAACAGAAATATTTGACATATGCTGAAAGAGAAACATTTTTCCTTCTAGATTGTTTTTCTCAGTTTTTAAATTACTAGCTAACCAGCTTTATTTTATAAAATATTTCTCAGTTCTAAAAATTATTGTGTAATTAATATGAAGCTAAAACAGATTTTTTTTTTTTTTAAATAATAATTAAAATTGATTTGTGATCACTTTTTTTTTATTTTGTAAGTAAAAATACAATTATAGTAAATCAAAACTTACTTAAGGGTTGGGGAAAATAACAATATATAATGAACTATTTATTAAAAGACTACAAAATGTTATGAAACATGAGAACAGCTACTATGAAAAATATAGTGGTAAGCAAAAATCTCTGATCAATATATTTTTACCCTGTTACTGGTTTGTGGTTTTTTAAATGAGGGAAAAACGAATAGTTTTCATTTTGTTTAGAATTGTAATCAAATTTAAATAATATTGGATTTTTATTAATTATTTTATATATAAGCATCTGTAACCATAGAAATTTAAATAAACTACAATATTTTTGTGTTTAAAACAGTCAATATGTCACCATGAAGGTCTTAATCCTAATATTTCAGTTATAAAAATTTAGTTTACATTGATATAACATGCAGATGCATATATTTAGAGTTGTGTGAAAGAGTATTAAAATAATCAGAAAAAAGCAGATCCTTTAATGAAATTTCATCATCAAATTGAGTCTAAATGTGTTAAACCAACCAAGAAAAACAACTGAAAACGATAACTGTATAATGAAACGCGCATCTACATAGGACGTCACGAAAACTACCTCCTCAAATTGTACTGAAGTGACACAAAGAAAGTGTTTTAAATATATGCTTGTGTAGTAGTATTACAAGACGGACAAATAGCTATAAAAACCATTAATTAGAAAATAAAATCAGATAGCTAGAATACAGTTTTCTTTAAACCACTTATGATGGACTGTCCAGAATTGTAAAAAAGAAAAAATATATGATTTTCTCATAAATTCAAATTCAATTCAGTTGGGAGTGACGGCTGTACATTCTGGATTTGTATTTGCATTATAGATTGCTCTTGTATTGGTATATTTTTTAAAACAGTCTTTTGACGTATGCAGATAAAATGATGTCATAAAAATTGGACATTTCATCAAGACAATGCCCTGAAAAATACCTCAAAGCTTATGAGGAATGATTTAAACTTAACAAAACATATTACCGCTGTACACTGGCAAAGTAAATCTCTAGATCTTAATACCGCATATCATTTATTAAAAGAACCATAACATTGTGTAATTAATCATCCCTATTCAAAACAAAAATAAGAACAAATTTTACCTGTGTGCATCAATATTAGATTTATTGAAGAAAATTTAACTAAATTAAAATCATAATCTTGCCAGATACTTTTGAACATAAAAATATCATCATTTATTTTATTTTTTGTTTTTACAAATCTTTTAATGTATAATACACAATTAATAATGTGATATTATTTGAATTCAGTTATAATAGTAAACAAAATAAAAAGTATTTGATTTTCACTTATTTAAACAGGCAAAAGCTGAGAAATTTTATTAAAACACTTGTTCCAGAGACTTCTCCTCTCTACTTTACTATAATCATAGCTTTTAAACAACGAGAAACATTGATTTTAAAATTTTCTTTTAATAATAATACAAGTAATTGCTTCATCCTTATTTGTGTTAGAATACTTTATTTATTTTTCATTTTATCTATTTACTTTTTTTTTATTAATTTATTTATTTTTGCAGTGCAAAATAAAATTAAAGGTATAGGTAAAAATTATTATTTAATTACCTATTATTAAAAATATGTAGTTAGTCATTTTATTAAATTTCAGGTACAATCTTGTTGGACACAGTATGTTTACAAGAGAGTGCTAAAAGAGTGACTGAAAAAGACAAGGTTGTTGCTGCCAAATTAGAAAAATACATTAAAGATATAAATAAAGAAGAACTATTCCAGGAATTACTTCATGCAAAATTTGATACTTCAAGTAAATGCTTCATTTAGAGTTATATATGTATAAGTTTCATAATCTTGTGTATTATTTCTTTTTAAGTCTTAAATCAATGATTCAAATTAATTGGCTTATTCATATTTTTAAATAAAAATTTCAATTTGTTATTCTAAATATGTGATTTATTTATATGAGAAGCAGAGATAGGAATTAAATATAATAATTATAATTTTTTTTAATAACTGGATTATTTTATTCTTCTGATGAAATGGAATTAGAATTGTTCTTTTTTTGTAATCTATAGAATATCAATTAAACAAAGTAATTATTCTGAACATAGAAAGTTTTAATTTTTGGATTATCATGAAGCTTCACTTCATGCAAGTGCAGTGGAATCCTGATTATCTGAAATAATTAGTCTGAACCTACTTTAGGTAATCATATTTCGATTATCAAAGTCCATCTTTATAATCATTTACTTTTGTCAATAAATTCTGATGAAAGAGTTTATTCTTAATATTAGTGTGAAATATATAAATACCTTCAAATGCAAAAATAAAGATATTTTAAAGGCGATATGTAAAGCAGTTGGTTTTGAAGGTGTTTTGCGGAAGTAGTAAAACTTCTGTTACTCATAAAATGCTAAATTGAATATGTTTCAACATTTTATAATTATACTTTCTTAAAGCTAGCTGTATTACCTGTAACTGTATTAACTTTACATGCTTCAATAGCACTAGGTCTTTTTATCGTGAATGCATAAGAATACTGTAAATATGAACTTGTAGGTAAAAAAAAAATAGTAGACCAATTTCAACAAAGCAATACTTTATTTTAATATAAATTTAATAATTAACAGAAAAATTTATAATAATACAAATTTTTTTTACCATTAATATACGTGTAAAAGTAATGTTTAAAATAATGTTTAATAGGTGAAAATGGATTTAAAAAAATAGCATGCTGGTCCAGGGTTTCCATTTTCGAATAAATGACATGTCAAAATAACTGTGAGGACCACATGTTTAAACTGTAAAACAAACCACACTAGGGCACTGACATTTCATAAAAAGAAATTCATTTTTCTTCAAGAGAAGTATGATTTATAAAATTATTGTATCCTTTGAAAAGAAAGTTGTACAGATTATGAGTGGCCAAAAATTATAACCACCTTGTACTTATGATAAGAATTCAAAGAGTCATCTTTGTATCATTTGAAGGGAAGGATATTGTAATTTATTGTGTGGCAACATCAAGGAAAATAATGGTTTAAATTATTTCTTTTAACCATGGTCTAAGTAATTTCTTTCTTGAAACTTTTTCTAATTCAAATAATTTTGTTTGCTATATTGGTGTGAATCATTACATTCTGGCATTCTAATGGACATTAAAATAATTAATCCATCGAAAAACAAATGGAACATCATACATTGGTTGTTATAATAGAAGGGTTGCTGTATTGGTCATATTAAAAAGTTTAAACTGTATAATGTGCTAAAAATTGTAGTTAGATTCAATAGAATAAAAAGTAAAATGTAATATGTTCTAAAAATTACACTTGAAGTTTTTATTGACTAATTGAATTAAAAACATTGTGGCTTTTAAAAACTGGAAATTATCTTTTTTTAATGTTATTTTTGTCCATTGAAATGGGCTAGTGATTCATTTTACTTTTAACTTTTGTCTTTTTATGCATTTTAGATTTATCTCCTGAACAACTGCTGAGGAAAGACACTAAATATATTAGCAATGGTGCAACAAATGTTGCAATTGCTTCACTGCCTTTGCTTTTAAAGGTAATTTTGTTCAATTTTCTAGTTAGAGCTGATTTTTATAATTTAATTAACTTTAATTCTATTAACATTTTTGAAAATAAATGTCTTGCCATTTCTATCAAAACATTGAGGTAAGAAGAAGTTGTGTGGAAATGCTCCTTTTTTTCCTATTTTCTTTATTTTGAAAACTTATATAATGATTGCCATAATACATATTCATTTATTTATAATGTATTATGAACAATTCAGTTGAACTTAATTTTTCTCTTAGTTCACACAATACATTAAACAAGATAAAAAATTAAACACTTTAATTATTTTGATAACATAATTTGATGCAATCATAATGAATCAAAGGCATAACCTCAAATGTACTGATTAATTTGTGGTGACAATATTTTAAGTTGCAAAATCTGAAACAAAAGCAAAAATCAGGAAAAATTTACTCCTTAATAACTTTTGATACACTGATTGGGATATTTTCCAATATGTGGCTTTCCCACATATTTTCAAGATCTTCATGTAAAATCCTTTGAAAAAGTTATGTTTACTCAGAGTAAGCATATTCTAATTTTGTAACTTTATATTGTTTGCACAAATTTGTATATTTGAAGTTTGACCCTTAAACCATTACAAGACTTGAAATTAATTGTGGTCTGCGACCATTAAAAGTTGACTTGGACCCCTATAAAATAAATTATCAGTGGCCCCCAAATCAGCAATCGATGTAAAGGGCTAGTATGCTGTTTTTATTTTTCTGTTTTTGTTTGTGCTATTCACAAAATAGCATATTACATCATAATTGTGAACTTTGCAGATTATCTGTATTGTAATTTTTTATTTAAATTCACTTTATTAACTTTTTAAAAATATATATATAATAGAGGCATGTAAACGAATCAGCGCAATGTATGTGGGAGAATAATATCTTAATAGTTATTAGTCCTGTAGACCAGTGATTTTTTTTTTTTTTTTAAATTTCCAACCCTACCATTAATGTTATCCAATCATTAAATCAAAATTTATACAACTGTTTATTTAGCTCTGTACATTATTTAATTCTGAATTCAATAAAAGTAAATGTGTATTGTAGAACTTTTCTGAGTTTTTTTTCTTCTCTTAATTAAGGGTTAAAACACTATTATTCTTATTTCAGGACATAATCCAAGATGATGAATTTCTTCTTGCCTTGGAGCAATTATCAATCCAAAAGAATCTCTCATTCATAGTCATCCTTGGAAGTCAAATTGTGGAGGATAACGGTCTTGTAAAGAGGCAGATAGCTATATATGACAAGAGTCAACAATTTTTGAACAAAGTACTTAGTTACACCTTTTTTAATTATGTTGTTTACATTCATGTAAAGCTTACCTAAAGAGGGCTGTTAAAGGCTTATATTATAGATAACTCTAAGTATGAAATATGAGGGTCATTTAAAAATAAGTTTTTCTGACCTTTAAAGGAAACAAAACATAATTACCTGTAAAAATTTATTGAAACATTTACTACAATATTTCAACTTCTCAACATGATTCTCGTGTGGAGAGGTCGCAAAAATATTACTATATAATTTGCAATGAAGCTTTAAAGATAATCGTGCTTTGTTTCTTTTTATTGGCTGGGACAATGGTTTGTTTATAGCTCTTACTATGAATGGTATAGAGAGTCAATGCAGGAATAAAGGAAATGGAAAGGAGCATATTAGTATATTAATGTATGGTTAAGTTTTGTAAGTTGTTTAAATTTGAAATTTAATTTTAACGTTTTATATTTTAAAATAAGCATCAAATTGAAAGGAAATAAATTCTTAATTTAATATTTTTCTTGTGAACATTGAAAACAAAACTTCCACCTCATGAAAAATTTTATTTGTTTTAATCAGATACTGTTTCAATGGTTAAAGGCATTGAGTTGTCATGGGAACTGGAATCTGATCTTAAGGGACCATCTTCAAATTGATGGGTTCCAGTTTGTCAGGAAAATAGAGGGGCTTATGTGCAATGCTGGCTACATTGCCATATTCATGCCATTTTTTATGAAATTGTGGAGCTTTTACCCCCATGACCCCTTCTGGCCAACAACAGGCTTTTGTGGGAACATTTCATAGGTAGTAGGTATTAAATAAAATTTCATAGGTATTAAATCGTTATTTCAATTATTTTTATTTATTTATTCCAGGTTACTAGCTATCTTGTTGGTCTTGAAAATCCAAGCTTGTGTCTTTGTCACGTTCCTGTGCCTATCAGTTGTGTTCATCTATTTGAACAAGAAAACTCTAGTCTTTCTCGAAAATTTATTTTGCCTGCTATTCAAAAACATTTATACTCTGAAAACTGTGTTACCTGATGGTGTTGTGTGTAACATTTATTGATGTTTTCAAATTTTAATAATAAACTTTAATTGCTGTTTTTCAACTCCTCTTGATTCATTCAAATTTTTTATAAGTTAAAAATGTATCAGACCTTTATCTTTGAAGTCATAAAAAAGATGTCTAAGATGACATCACTTAAAATTCATTTTACTGTATGTTGATTGCTCAATTGCTTGCTAATAATGAACATTTTAAAAAAAATCATTGTTGCTATTATTTGACTGATGATACGAACAATTGATGAATTGCTAAAGGTCAATTGATCTTTCAATGTATCAGACCTTTATCTTTGAAGTCATAAAAAAGATGTCTAAGATGACATCACTTAAAATTCATTTTACTGTAAGTAGGACTGGGCTATAAATCGATATATCGCGACATATCGATTTAACGCCTACATCGGCAAACCGATACAGCAACTTTCATTCCAAGCGATGCATCAGAAATCTGATTTAAGCCGTCGAGTGAAGAAGACGATATAGCGATACACGCAAGGACTTTCTCTTACGTTCCGATGCCAACTCGCGCTGTGGAAGACGATATTGTTTCGTTATGTTGAGACGGCCTTGACTGATGAGCGGTAGAATCAGAATCACTTTTGAGACCTTATATCGTTATATCACATGTTCGTTTTCGCACCTTCGCGATTTGAAATCGTTTCTTGTAGATTATTTTCAATGGGATTAACTTCGTGATCGCCGTCGTAAC